AAACACCCACGAAACAAAGAAAGGTCTGTCACAGCCAAAAAATACACTCCAGACACGCCGCTGGCACTATATATATATATTGTCACATAGATATATATATATATATTGTCACATCACTACAAACTAAAAGAGAGAGAGAGAGAGAGAGCCAGGTATTTCGTTGTCAATGTCTGCCGAAGCCCGTGCTTGCTCAAAGCCCGCCATTAACACTCCCAGCACCATAACCCCCCAACCCCCGACCCCCAAGCCCTGAAAACAAAAAAAAAATTATGTTCAACGTTTTCTTTGCGGATTTGGGGAGATCTCGGCGAGCGCAGTCCAACCATGTTTTCAAAAAAAAAAAAATCATAATAATTGACCCAGTTTTGGACTCAACCGGCCCGGTTGGATCCGGTCCGGTCCAACCGGCCGGTGGCCGGCACGGCCCTGGTTTAGACAGATCGATGCAGTCAGGGTCAAGACCGTACTAGCGGTCATGCCATGGGGTGTCCATGGCTGAGTGGGTGTGCAGAAAGGGTTTTATGACTGTGTCAGACTAGTTTCTCAGGCTGCCGTTCTTGAAGGGTTTTATGACTGTGTCAGACTAGTTTCTCAGGCTGCCGTTCTTGTCACGGGCTTGAACCAACAGGCTGCTAGGATTGCAGGGTTGCTGTGAGTGAAGTCTACCACTTTTCTCAGGGGTATCGCTAACTCTGGGTGATGTGGCGAGTACTTGATACTACTTATCCATCAGTCAAATGCATCCTGGCCAGACTGTCGCGGTTCAACCTCCTGATGAGTCGGTGAAAGTCCGATGAAACAGTCTGGCACAGTCACACAAACACAAGCAAGAAAATGACAAGGTAGAGGGGATAGAACAACATACACTTGTGCTCCAGCCTCCTAGCCACCGGCTTGCAGGCGACAACGACGGCACCTCTACTTTCCCACTCAGAAGTGCCCTCATCATAGGCGTTGACCAGTTGCCAGGGTCAAACTTCCCAAGACTCTCTTTCCTCTTGCTGCATCCTGCCCTCCTCTTATCGGATATGTTGTCAGTAACCGATTCACCGATGCACGGTCCCTTCTCTTCGATCCTCGATTCCCCTCCACTCATCTCGCCGTCCCTTCCTTTCTTTCTCTCTCCGTTGCTCTGATGCCTCTTCTCAGGTACTGACTCTGCATTCTCTTCTTTTGGATTTGATCTGCCCCTCGCATGATCACAATCAGAAGCCCGCACACCATCTTCGCCGCATCCATGACAATGAGTGGCAGATGGATCCTCCCCAGTAAACACCCATGATCTTGATTCCCCTCCACTCATCTCATCATCCCTTCCTCTCTTTCTCCCCCCTTCGCTCTGATGCCTCTCCTCAAGCACAGACTCGACATTCTTTTCCCTGGGTCTTTCCCTTGCATGATTGCGATCACAAACGTGCATGTCATCTTTGGTGCATCGTGGACAATAAATCGCAGATGGCTCCCCAGTGAGCACCCAGGAATCTTCCACGCAACCACATGCACCGCCAGACTTCCCTGCCTTTTCCGGCGAGACTACCTCCAACAGAGTCTCTCTGCCAGAGTCCCTTACCTTCGCATTGCCAGCGCATACACATTCCGAAGCAGTTGTAAAGCCGAAAACGCTGCTAGTCGCCGCCATAGATGAGTCGGCCCGATCAACGTCTGTCATGGCATTCTGGAAACTCCTCTCCCTGACAAAACCTTCACCTCTATGTCGACAACCCTGCCCTTCAGCAGTCGACAACCTTTCTGCCGTAGCTTGGTCAGAGCTCATTCCATGATCAACGGCAGAGAAACACTTCCCCACACTCGTGTGATGCTGTCCTTCACGACCCTTGTCCTCCTCCACACTGCAGAGGTCAACACCTCCAGGAGTAACCACACTCACTGATGCTTCAACACTGTACTTTGGACAGACACCACCCTGTCGCCTGTGTTCACTTTCTCCTCTAATGCCATCGTGAATGCCCTTCCAAACTCCTGCATCTGGTCGTTTGTCAGAATTCCCCCCTTGAGCAACATCAACAATATCAAATGCGCCCTTGTGGTTCACATATCCCATCTTTCTCCTTTTAAAAGTTGGTCCTTCTGCCTCAACAGCGCCACCATCCTTTGACGCAGGCCCACAAACCACGACTTTGTCCTCGTTTCCTTCCTCGCTTCCGGGAGCCCCACCCTCGTCAACCCGTTTCATGCCTGCCATCTTGTGACAGCTGCCAGTATCCACGACTTCCTTCCTGTCCAATCCACATAGGATAGCCTGATCAGTCAGCTCCCGGGCATCGCTCACTGGGGTCATCGTGCTCATCCCATGAAGCTCAGCTTGCCTGCTATCAATCACAGTCAATTTTGCACACTCTGCAGCGACAACACCCTTCCTCTCGAACACTTCCATACTTGAAATAGGGGCCTCATGCTCCTCGATCCTCTGTTGATAAGTACTAGCATCACCTGCAGACGCTAGAGTCCTAGCCATGCTTTGCTGCAACACGCTAACTATGCCACCCTTCTTATCACCATCAACACATGCGACATCTTCTTCCCAACGTTCACCATCCTCATGTCGTCCTTCTTCTTCATCCGTACCACCAGCGGTGCGCTTTCTCCGGGTTTTGTCACTACCAGCGCCATAACTCTGGCAAGCTGGAACGGTGCCCTCAGCATGCAGGTCATAATCACTGTCCTCATCATGTGCGATGTCTTCCTTCCAAACTTCTTTATCCCCTTCTCTCCAACGGTTACCTCCGTCATGCCGTTGTTCTTCATCTATACAGTCGGCAGACCATTTTCTCCCAGTCCCATAACTGTGGCAAGCTGCAATGATAGTCTCCGTATGCAGGTCATCATAGTCGCTATCGTTGTCAGACTCCTTATCCAACGCTTCGTCCCACACAACGTCCTCCTCTTCATCCACCCTCTTGTACGAAAATGCATCTTTCTCCATTTCTCTTCGTTCAGTCCTGATTCGTGCTCCAATCTCAACCAGCCCTTGGAACTCTGTCTCTGTGAATGTGTTCCTGTCTATCATGAGGATATTCCCGACTACCTCCAGCTCGGATACGGAAACAGCCAGCGCGACTGCTTCAGCTTCCTGCCAGTTCACAACACAGCTTGGCAACACCTCTTCCTCTCTGCCGCTTCCTTCTTCTGCATCTTTCCCTGTCGCGTCCACTACACAAGGCATTGTTTTATAATCCTCCATCTCAACGGGAACTACATTCAGATCTATCTCCCGGCTCCGCGTTGCACCACTGACATCAGCTCCACCGCCAACGGCATGAACGCCTTCACGCTGCTCAGCAGCCCCTGAGCAACGAATCATAAGCCCCGAAGAGTCAGGTCCATGGACTTGAGTTAAGGGGCAACCCTTCATCGTCTGATCTTCTTGTTCGTACACATCGATGTCATGCAACTGTTGTGGTGACGGTCCGCATTCTCCAGCACCAACCACTCCCTCTGGGAGCAGTACAGTCCCATGCACTCTGTCGGGTTCTTGGCGTTCTTCTGTAGCTGCAGATCTTTTCTCCTCAGAGTTGACTCCATTCTCATCTTCCACAGCAGCTGCCTTTTCAGAGTCATCGTCCAGAGGAGGCATATTCAAATCTATCAGAATAGCTGCCCGTCTCTTTGATCCCTCCTGCTTTCTCTCACTGTCAGAGGGACTCCGACTCCGTTCAGCTTCCCCTTGCCCCCTTGAACCATTTAGACCATCAGAGTACGTGTTATCCCCCTCTACGTGAATGGATATAGTGCCCGCTGCATCTCCTGAAGGAATGCATAATTCCGAACAGCTGGGAGGATCACCGCCATTCGTAAGCTCACCAGTGAATCGCGGCCGTTGATCGCATAGACCACCTTCATTTTCCTCCCTCCGATAGATCTGTAACAAGTCAATCGAATCAAATAACAGGAGTGTGATCGAACAAGCCCACGTGGTAGACCAGCTCTCACCACATTCATACCTAACAACCATGTAGTCAACTCTATCACACACTGAGCCGAGAACAGCCTCTACTCGACATAAAGCTCCAAACCACTCCGGCACATTCCATGAACCACAAGGTTACTTCACCGGCACAGCTGACACACTGCAAGCTATACACGGGTCTTCTCTCTCTCTCTCTCTCTCTCTCTCTCTCTCTCTCTCTCTCTCTCTCTCTCTCTCTCTCTCTCTCTCTCTCTCTCTCTCTCTCTCTCTCTCTCTCTCTCTCTCTCTCTCTCTCTCTCTCTCTCTCTCTCTCTCTCTCACACACACACACACACACACACACACACACACACACACACACACACACGGCAGTTGACAGACAAAATTTCTCAACAGTAAGTTTCAGCGACTAAGAAAAACTAGAGCAAGCACATTTGGAACGTATACAGACCCTCTTCCCTTCCAACTACGGAATGCAAATGAATGGAATGCAAATGAATGGAATGCAGATGAATGGTACATGCAGACTGTAGATGACTAACATCTTCCTTCGAAAGTAACACCTGTTCCATGGTCAAGACTGTATACAGACCCTCTTCCAGTCCATATACGGTCATGATGCCATGGCATCGTGTTTGGGGGAAGAAGGTAGTCATTCTAAGCCATAGCTGCCATGGAGGAGGAGCACAGTGGACTTACGGGATAAGGGTCGCAGTATTCTTGAGATTGGGAGTCTGTATCTAACATAGCCACAGGGTGGCTCGAGCCCTGCAAATCACACCAAGCCAATGAATGCAGAGTACACAAAATCCAGAAAGATGAGAATAAAATTTATTATACAACTTGGCAGGGAAAGGAAATGAATTGGAATTCAACCATACTTGCGGCCCATCGACGTGCGCTGCACCGCGCACACGCATTGCACTGCGCACAGCACACGACGCCCTCGCACCCGGAAAATAAGGGGTCGAGGGAAAAAAGAAAAGTTGGGGAGGGGTGGTTTAGACCCGAGTGGGATGTCGCGTCATAAACCACAAAAAAATATTAACAAAAAATTGAGGCCGCGCGGGGT